GAAGTCCCCTTTTGTGAATGTCTTTAAGAAGTGTAATCAAAAAATATGGTGACTGCCGCTGCTGAGCACCATCCAACGGAAGGGCAGGCTTGTAAAAACATTACAATGTGTCCTCATCCAACTTTTTCACTGGATCTGGCACTGTGCGACTTCTGGCTCTTCCCCAAAGTCAAAATGACCATGAAACGGAAATGTTTAGAATCGATTTAGGGCATTGTGGAAGCCACAACAGCACAAATAATGATACTCACGAGAAAGGACTTATAGAACTGGTTGGTAAAGTGGCAAGAATGATAGTGTGTGTGAAACAAGGGATAAGTGTGTGCGAAACAAAGGGAGTGTTCTGAATATTTTGTCTTTAACTTTCATAAATTATTTTAAATTTTAAGCACTGCTCACTTTTCGGTCACACCTTATAACTATCTCCTCACTGGAGCTGATTTAATGACAGTAGGGCTTTTCTCTGTTTGTGAACTTCTCTATCCCCGATGTCTGGGAGAGCCCAGGGTGCGGAGTATGTGTCCAGTTTTTGAAAAGAATGACTTTATATGCATGGGTCTTGAAAATATCCTTTCAGGTTCTGTATTCTTTTCACCTGGAAGCCAGGGCTTCCTGCCATTTTTCTCCAGATCCGTTTGGTCTGTTGACTGCTTCCCTCTTATGCTTGAGGACTTGACGGTGACACACTGTGAGACACACTGCCCGAATGCCTGCCACACCAAGAGTTAGTGCTTTCATCCTTGTGCTCCTCATGTGCTTCCACTTTACCATTTCTTACAATGTTACTCAGTCCATTATTTGCACATCTATTTTTCTACATCCTCTAATACTTAGGAAGCAAGAATGTCTCTTAGAACCATGCCTGAAAAGTGTTAGGGACTTGTTGGGACCCCGACAGTGGAGACCACAGGAGAAGATGCAGAAAATTTCCTCTCTTATCTTCTCCTGCCCAGTGTTTCTCACCTCTGATTCTCCCCTGAGGCGAGCCATAAAAACTAAATTCCTCTTCTCCAAGCCAGGTCATAGAAACCACACCCTTTGCCCCAAAGTCAGCCACAATACTGGAAAAACATCATTTTAACTGTTTGTCTACATTTTTGTGTAACAATTTTCCATTAAAAAATTCTCTGGCCTACTTTGTTCTACTACAGTTCACACACATCTCTCCCATTCCAGAAAGGTCTGTATTATCCCACTTTCCTGTTTCTGGGACAAAATACCAACACGTAAAACTTAAAGGAGGAGAAGGGGAGAGGGGACCAGGGATGTAGTTCAGTGGCATCACACCTGCTTGGAAAGCTCAAGGTCCTGAGTTCAATCCCCGGGACTGAAAAATAAATAAATAAATAAAAGAGGAGAGGTTTATTCTGACTCACAGTTTCTCATGAGTACAGTCCACATCCGGTTGGTTACAAAGGAAGAACAGGTATGGTGGAGGAAAACTGTTCAACTCATGGCAGTCAGAGAGAAAAGAGAAGCTGGGACAATAAGACACCCTTCCAGGTCACACCATAGTCACCTCTAACCATGGCCCATGTCCTAACCACACACTCAGCTACTGAACGCATCAGTGGATAAATCCCCTGATGGGTATAGCACCCCAATGATCCAATCACAATGCAAACACATGGGACTTTTGGGGGTCATTCTAGTTCTAAACTATGTCATGGAAAATGTATTTATTTTATCTCTGAGAGTCATCAAAGTCTTAGCAGTTCTAGCACTGCTGAAAAGTCCAAGGCCAAACTCTTCTCTGAGACTCAAAGCAAGCTCTTAGCTGTAATCCCCTGTAAAAATCTAAAAGAAAGTTAAATACTTTCAAATTACAACAGCATAGATTAACTTTCCCAATCCAAGAGGAAGGAATAGGGAGATAAAAAGGAATTGGACCAAAGCATGGCCAAAATCCAGCAGGGCAAGCATTAAATCTTTAGCTCCATGTCCAGCAGCCAGGGCAGGCTGTGGTGACATATGAGGTCCAAAGGGTTTGGGCAGCCCTGATCCCATGACCATGCCAGTTGCAGCTCACATGGATTCTTCCTTGAGTTGGTGCTAGTCGTTCCTATCGCTTTCCTCAACACATATCCCACAGTCCTGGTATCTCCAACTTCCTGGGGTCTTCATTGAACTTTCAGCTTCACTCTCACAGCTTCACTCATTGTCCTCTCTAGGGCATACTATCTGGCCTTTCAGTCCTTCTTCTGAAACCTGGATGCAATCCTCCATAACTCTACAACTCTTGCATTCTGTGTGCCAAGAAAGCTAGCACCATACAATAGATGCCAAGATTTGTTTTCTGTCAGTTCAAACAGTAGCCTGGCCCCCTTGGACAATGGCCACAGTGGCTTCTGAGTACATGAGTGGTTGAGCATAGTGAAATGAATCCCTGAGAACCAATTCCTATTTTTGAGCAGAGGGCCTAAAGGCTGTCTCCTCAAATGAAAGATTTATACTTTTGCATCCTTGAGCCTGTGATGGGTAGGGTCTTGCTAATTCCTGAGATGTCTTCAAACTGTCTTTCTTATTGTTCTGGTGCAAAGTATGTAGCTTTTTAAAAATGCTAATGTTGTCAGCAGCCACAATTTCCTGTGCTTCAATTTTACAAGGACTTCCTTTCTGGCCAAGATGCACATAATTCAGCTCTGCCTTTTGCTCCTGATTCTCACTATAAATCTTCCTGAGAGCAGCCAGCAGCCTTCATTCTACAGCCTGAACATTGGGCTTCCTTGAAATTTCCTCAGCTAGATCAATTAGTCCACCACCTTTATATTCAGCCTCACACAGTCTTGGGACATGGGCTAAATATAGACAAGTTTGTTTCCAAAATGAAACATGAATGCCCTTTACCCAGTTTCCAGTAGAGTCTCCTTTCACAGGTGAAACTTCTTGAGCTTGGGCTTTACTATCTCTATTCCTACTAGCATTCTTGTCTTCTGAGATACAACACTTGTCTGGCTCTTCTTGCAGCATTCTAAAAGTTCTCTAGCCTGAATGTCTAAGCCTTTCAAAACTCTTCCTGCAAACCAGTTCCAGATGCTTCTAAATCCCATTGTCAGATACAGTCACACCAACAACCTCACTCTTGATACAAGTTTTCTATATTAGCCTTTCCATCACTGGGAGAGAATACTCAACACCTGCAACTTAAAGGAGGGGAGGTTTATTTTGACTCACAGTTTCCAGTGGGTTCAGTCCATGGTCAGCTACATCCAAGACAGAAACAGCATGATGAAGGGTATGGGGAAGGAAAGCTGTCCAACCTATGACAAATAGGGAGTAGAAAGAGAGAAAGGAGGAGCCAGGGACAAGAATACACCCTTCTAGGTCATGCCCCAGTGGCAATCCTGCAACTATTTTCCTTCTCCTAACTGCACAGTCATCTACTGAATTTGTCAATGGATGAATCCACTGATGAGTATAGCAACCCATGACCCAATCACCCTCAAAACTCATGAGACTTTTGGGAGATATTTTAAATCTAAACCATAACAAGGCCCTATACCATATCCAGAAGAAAAGAATGCTGCACAGAGAGATCAAGAAGAATCTGAACAGGCAGATCTTGCTGGGTTTTCTTTCTCAATCTATTTCTATTAAATCATATCCTTTTTTGTTCAATCATATTTCAATACAGCTGTCTGTGCCTCATCAAATCTAAGTACAAAAAATGAATAGTTCACCCTAAATCTTTGGATCTTCAATCTGAAGTCTCCTGTGTCATATAAACCTATCTTTTCTCTAAGCATGTTGGTTATGATCTTTTATGATGGGCAGGAAAGAGCTCACCCCCTGTCCTACTCCTGCATAATCAATATTTATTGATTGATTGATTGACTTCATGGTAGGTGCTGAAGAACCAACATGAATTAGTAGATTGGCTCCCATGTCCTCCTTTATTACTTCACAAGCACCTTATCTGAAACTGTAGATTTGGTGGAAGAGGACAGTTTCTCTCAGGTAGAAGGAGATAAGCCCTGATCTCACAGTGCTTAAGTACCATGCTCTTCTGTTGGACTAGCCAAGTAAGGCAAAGAAGTGTCCAAATAGCATCTCTGTTCTTTAAGTGGTTTCACGTCTGTAGCTGCATGATTCACAAGATATCAAAAGGGATTTCCCATGTGTTTTTGACTCATAATGGATGATTTTTCTAGAAACCAGAAAGAACACAAAATTGGTCAAACGTCTAGGAATGTGTGATAGGTAAATATTATTTGCCTCTTCAGAAAGAAAGAGTCCAGCACTATAGATTGTCAAGCATAATATCAATTGTGTGAACCATTATGGAACAGATTATTAACATGTTTGTGAACCATCTGGGAGGGAAATAGTTAGCATTAATTCTGTAAGGACAAGTCATGCTACCACAGTGTTTTTTCTGTTAGGATGAGTAAGTTCTACCAAGGATAGAAATACTTTAAACATGTTTGACTTTATCAAAAGAATTTAACACATTTTTCTTGATGTCAAACATATCTAGTTTGTCTTAGATGGTAGTAGAGGTGAATTTACACTTAACTCAATGCTATTGTCCGTGGAACAATGACTAAGGGATCAGTGCTGATTGCCCGTCCTTGCCTGCACCTAACAAGGTAAACTGAAATATAAAATACATTACTATCAAAGATGTAATCAAATATGCTGGAGGGGAGATAGTCGATGAGTTATGAGAACTAGAATTCAAAATACTTTTAGTCCAAGAATAATAGCAACCAATGATACGAGTATTTTTCCATGTCCAATCATCTCATTTAATCATCAGAGTGGGTATGAATATTACCAATGCGTCTCATTTACTGTATGCCTGCAGTGTGCCAGACTCTGCATAGTAGTCTCAGTCTTTCTAAATAATCTTTTGATGTGGATATCTTTCCTCCTTATTTCAGAAAAGGGAACTGAAGATCAATGAAGCACCTTCTCCGAGGTCACAGGGCAGGGCTGGACACAGAATTTACAAATAGGTCCATCTGACATCCAATACTGTACTGTGTTCTTTCACATAGAATGTTGCCAGAAAGTATGCTTCTGCTTTAAGAGTCAGAAACTCAAGCACCAAACGGAAGGGCACTGCTCCTGTGAAAACATGTGGAAGGTTTTGTTTGCCTGTAAACTTCTTGTGTACCGTCCAGGTGAGTCGCTGAGATCCCACTGAAGGAATAAAATCTTGGAATATGGAATCATTCTCAGAACAAAGAAAGGTAAGAATCACAATGTGCCCTACAAATGAATGAAATATAGTGCTTGGCTCTGAGACACTGATCCCATGAAAGCACTGTCAGCTGACACAAGCCTTGGACTATTGGATCTGTGTGGTCATAGGAACAATGGCTGAAGAAACTACAATATACAAAATTTGATCACAAATATGACAAATGTTCAAATTTTTTAAAAATTTGTTTTAGTAAAATACATGTTGCCACTAATCCACCTCAAAATACTCCCCTCAGTCGAACACACTTATCCCATCTTTTTTGCCACTTTATGAAACAGTTATGGAAGTCCTTGTTCATGAGTGTCTTTAGTTGTCCCGTGGTAGCTGGTTCAATGTCTTGAATCCATTCAAAATGTTTACCTTGCATGATCATTTTGACTTTGGAGAAGAGTCAGAACCCCATGGTGTCACATCCTATGAATAAGGTGGATGAGGTAACTCCATAATGCTTTTATTTGACAGGAATTGCTACAGATGTTTTGAATGGATTTAGGACATCAAGGCAGACCTGACAGCACAATTAAAAACACTCAAGAAAGAGGACTCTGGAACTGCTTCAGAAAGTGACAAGAATGATGGGATAAGTGTGTTCAAAGCAAGAGGGAGTATTATGAAGGGCATTATTGACAATGTGTCTCTTACTGAATAATTTTTAAAATTCAAACAGACTGTATTTTTGGTCAGTCCTTATAGAAAACACGCTAACTATAGTTGTGTATTTGTTAGGCCGGGTACTAGTCTAAAATATTTCTCAGCATTAATTCATTTGAGTTTGGTGATAATCTTAAGACAGAAGTGCTGCTATTGCCCCTCTATTTCACAGAAGAGGAAACTGAGGCACATAGAGATCATATGCCCTTTCTCAAGGTCACAGTCAAAATCGGTGACAATTGGGCTTTTATTTTCATTGGCAATAAGAAATTACAAGAGGAATGATATACATTATTTGGCTACAGATAGAAAAGAACAAACCAGAGAAGGTGCTCTGAAAGATTGTGATTTGGTGCCATCACAGAGACCTAACAATTTACGTGATTTCAAAAGGACACTGTGGACTTCTCTCCCTCGATGTTTTGGATCACGCATGTTTTCAGAGGGCGTCCATAGCATTGGAAGAGGGTAGAGAATATGTTTCCATGTTTCCTCCAGATTCCACAAGCCCATCAGTGCCAACATAGTCCCCTACTGGTAGATGGGAGTGGAAGTATTTATCCTCCTGGAATCTTGAAGTATATATAGAAAAATCTGTTAACTGGAACTTGATTTCAAGAAAACTAAATCAGGCCAGGGATTTAGCTCAGTGGTACCACCCCCTGCCTTGCAAGCATAAGGTCCTGAGTTCGATCCCTGATTAAAAACAAAACAAAACAAAACACTAAATCAAAATGTGTTGCTGAATTATGCTTTTCAAAGTCAGAAGGCAATTTTTATACATCCAGTCAACAAAGATTTAACCGTCACCTACTGTATGTAATCCTACATCTGATTCCATGCCCAGCTTTCAATGGTTAGCACATTTAATGATGAAAAAAGTTTCCACTCAAAAATATAAGTGATTTTTCTCACATTCCCATGGCTTAGAAGGGACTGGAAAAGGCCTGGACACAGATTTGTCGACGATGCTTTCTTCTGTCTCATGCTTTCTACTCACTTGCCAAGAAAGCCACGTAAGTGGACATACTTCACCAGTAATTGCAATAGAAAGGGTCTCTGCCTTTCTTCTTGAATCATCCGCTCTGCAGACATCCTGGGGTACATCTTCACTTGGAGCCAGCAGAGTGCTTGTTGGTGAGGGATATAAAAGTTTAAAAAGACAACAAGCAAAAACCATTGTCTTATCTTGAAGAGTGTCAGTATTGAGCAGGGAGACAGATCTGAAAGCAGATCATTGAGGGAGAGAAACGAGAAACAGCAAGTGAAGTCGCCCAGAATGTACACACGTTTCATCTCCCTGTTAACTGAGGCTGTACTGTCGACATCTGGACTTACTCACCAGAATAACACGAGGGTTAACTGTACCAGGTAAGATGCTAGGAGCGTGGAAGCAGGCGCAAGACTCTAACATGGTCCCTGACCTCAGAGGACACAGCTGGCTTGGACTCCTGGGTTCTGGTCTTCCTCAGACTTCCACCTAGGAGACTGGTGAAACCGCGGGTCCCATTTTATCTGGAGGCTGGATGAGAAGTCAGTGAGGAAGATAAAACTAGGAATAACTGAAATTACTATGGAAGGCAGCTGTATAGAGCACACCATGCTGGCCACGGGGGTGCACGAGGAATGTCCGGAGACAGTTGAGGAAAGAAAGCATGGTTTGGGCTTGTAAGCAGTGGTTCTTTACTCCAATTGCATATGACAATTACTTGTGGTCTATCTTTAAAATTGAACGCCCAGGGCCCTGTCAAAGACCTCCAGTCAGAAATCAGGGGAGGGGAATAAGACCAAAACGTCAGTGTTTTTAAAAAAATTAACTTTCCATTTGATTCTCATCTGCAGCAAAGGTTAAAGACCCCTTCTCAGTAGAAAACATCCCTGCAAATATTTATACTTATAGCTGTGGTCCTGATGAAAGTCACGCCTATAGCTATGATAACCCATTCACGTTCATCAACAGCAGGGCTCAGAGATGGTGAGGTCCGACCAGAAATGAGGGGTGGTGGAGTATCTCAGGCAGCATTACCTCTACGAGCAACATGAGCGCTGCTTCTGCAGTGTTGGCTCACTGTCGCTTGTCTCTGCAGAGAAACACAGCCATTTCAGCTTGTTGAGTGGGATCTGCTCACATAGATCCTCTTGCTGGTTCACAGACCACTTCCCTGTGATTAGTTTACTAAGAACTCACTGGCTCTTATTTGGAACCTCCACACACACACACACACACACACACATGCACGCACACGGGCACACACCCACTTCTAAGGATTTTTGCTTATGACCCTTAAACAGGTCTTTCCAGAAAGAAAAGTGTAGTCATATAATCAGCAAGGGACTCCATAAATCACTGAGAAGACAGGGCCTCCTCTGGGCTCTGTGGATTCTGGTTTAAGCTGACGCTGTGGACCTCAGCTGCTTCATGTGTCCGACGCATCAAAGGCTCTCTGACTACCCTAACACGCGATGATGCTATGAGTCATTTTCCTGGAAAACCCAGCCAAGATGAAGTTGCCTTTTATTTATTGAGTAGATTACCTCTTCAGGTTCTTAAAGAGGTAGAAAAAAACAATCCAGGATGAACACAATGGTTTTGTTTCCTTCACTCCTTCCTCTTCTGGCACTGCTGGGCTGGCTCAACAGTTGCTAAGAAAAAGAGTGAAATGTTCCAAGCAATGGGACTTTGGGGACAGATTCCGAAACTTCACATGTGATGTTGGCTGGCATAGTGGTTGGTTTTCTTTGTAGGATATGGAAGGAGAAATGAGAAAAAATCTGCTTTAATACATCAGAGCTAAACGCAAAATAACTGGGCCTACAGTCTAATCTAATCATGCTTTTGTTTATTCACTTCATATAAAAGTCTCTTAAGAATGCATTTGAGCACAATATATAATAATATTACTATAACGTACATTGTGAGAAACTTTGGAAAACAGTAAGATGTCCACCTGGAACAATGCAGTGTTGGTAGACGTACAACCCATGGTCACGCACGCTTGTGCTATTTCCCTAGCTATTGCGTCATAACACTGAACTGAAGCTTGAAACATATTTTACAAACTGAAACAACACCAGGAAGAGGCCTAACAGGTGTCATCAGAAGAAGCTTCACATTTGCATAATTTACTACATCAGTTCACATTTTATTATAAAAATTCACATTGTTCTATTGTTTTCTTCCATAATGAGTTGGAACATGACACTCCCCCAGTATAGCAGGCAGGATGCTAGCTCTTCAAAAGTCAGTAGTTTGGGGACATTCAGAAGACTCTTTTGTGAGCAAATGTAGTGTTGCTTTTGGAACCGAAGCCACAACTGGAGTATAATCCAGTTATAACCCAGCTCACGTGTACACAGATTTGGATAAAACACGGGTAAAAACCGCATGCCTTTGCCCCACCCCTTATTAAACTATACAAAAGTAAAAGCTTGATGTAAACCATTTTATATCTAATGTGAGGATCCTGCTTGCAAACTGGTTCACAAAGGGTTGTGCATCATTGGTAACTCAGACAGGGAAAGGGCTGCCCTGTGGGCCCCACGCCTCCCCTGTCTGGACTGCGTGCACAGGGAGGGAGGGGCCCTCTGTCTCTCCAAAGCGGTGTCTGGGTTAATATTGTACACAATACAAAACATTACAAGAAAAAGTCGCAACTCTTAGGCAGAGTCTTCTACACAAATATAACACCACCGTTGGCAGGCAATGTTAGATATATAAATTAATAACTTACAAAACATTACAGTATATACATGAAGTAATAAATACATGGTTATCAACAGGAATGGAGGTGTTAGCGTGAAAGGCAGTGCAAGAGAAAAACAGGGAGATCAACCTGGAAACAGTGCTGGGACTGGGGAGAGGGACAGGTCGGGCCGTGTGACTCAGAGGCCAAAGACAAAGCAGGTAGGCAGCCGTGTTCACCTGTGGCTACAGCACAGCTACCCTGCGCTGCCCCACAGTGTGGCTGATGTGTTTCTGTTTCTAGCACAAACAGTGAGACCTCGGGGGGACAGTACTGTTTGAAGCAAGCAAACAGAGCTAAGTGACAAGGGCCACTGTGGAGCTGGACTGGGCCACTGCGGAAGGAAGTAGAATGTGGTTAGAAGTGCATCTTTTCTGTTTGCAAAAGTTAACTGTAGGAAAGCGAAAGATATTGCCCAAGAAAAAAGGAAGACTGTTTTCTTTCTTTTTTTTTCTCCCCCAGAAAGAATCAAAAAAGTTTATATCAACTTTGAACGCTTATCTGTGTAGAAGTTGGTACTATAGGTATTCAACAGGCATTTTCAAGACATGAAAATGTTTTACAAAAAAGGCACACAGGTTGGCACACAGGGGACAGTGAGCAGATTTATCAGTGAAGTTATTAGTCAGTGAGTTCAGTCACTAGTCGGGCAGGGCCCGAAACTGAGTGCGGAGAAATCTCTCAGTTTTGTGTCTTCCGTGTTCAAGCCATTTGGTCATGATTGGAACTGGCCCACGCTACCACACAGAGCCCCAGCTCTCTGCCAAGCTTGCGAGTGAGGCAAGTCGACCTCGGGTTTCCCGAGCTGTTCTTCGCTTCTCTGCCTTGTGATCTGGCCCCAAACTCCGGTACCTGGAAAGGCAGGTGGCCTCTGTCTCACGCAGGCCTCGCCCTGTGGTGGGCTGGCCATGCCACACAGCTCGCCTGCTCCTCAAGGGTGGGAGGTCCTTCCCCGAGGACAGGGAGACTAGGTGTCAGTCGGGGACTTGTCTTCTGTTGCAGTGTCGACATCGGTCTCACCCAGTGGATCCCGGTTCTCTGGGTCAATCACACAAAGTGTCTTCGTGCTGCCGAAATAGCTGTGGCCCGCCCCCTCCTTCTCGGGTCCTTCCGAATCATCCTCCTCCAGGGTCAGTTCGAACTGAAACTTCTCTATCAGGCCCTGGCAATCCCGGTTCCTCTCGTCCAGCGGCGGGGAGGGGCTCTGGGGTATCATGCTCTGATACCAGTTCCTATTGTCCTCTAGTGTGTCCAGAATGTCCTGAGCGTCGGGCTGCACCAGGTCGGCCCAAGTCTCCCACAGTGGGTGGACGATGTAGTCGATGAAACCCACCTGGAGAGAAAGAAGATGATACTTTGTGACCGTGACGGGTCTGTGACCACCAAGCTGGGGTCGTGGTTTCCAGGTAAGGGGAAATCACAACCTCAAGAGACCATGACATGGGAGACCTTTACTGGAGCACTTACTATAGAGTCCTGCAGTGGATACGGTACATACCACACATTTCCTAATCCTGCAAGTTAAGTATTGCTGTCTGCCGGGAATGGAGTCTCACTGGAGTTACATTTACTTTATTTATTTTATTATTTATTTTTCTTTATTTTGCAATACTGGGGTTTGAATCAAGAGCCTTTGCACTGAGCTACAGCCCCAGCCTGTTTTACTTATTTATTTCATTTTGAGACAAGTTCTTGCTAAATCGCTAACTTGTCCAGACTGGGCTGAAACTTTTGATCCTCCTGCCTCAGCCCTCCCAGAGTACCGGGATTAGAGGTGTGAGCCACCGCACCCGGCCGAGATGAAATTCCCTGTAGAGGGCACACAACCGGTGATCTGATTCCAACGCCTGTGTTCATCTTGCTTTTCCTTTCCTGTGCGCCAGGTAAGAAGTCTGGATGTGAAGCTGGCTGGGAACGACCTCGCCAGACTTGGATTCTGTGAGTCATTCTCCAAAGAAGGAAGCCCCAGGTCTGCAGTGTTCTGACTCAACATTCTTCCCCTGATAACTTCAAAATATGCTACCGTGACAAAGCGATGGGAGCCATTTCTGTCTACTCTGGGATCTCAAGTTCTGGAGAATCCTTGTGACTGGTAGAGGAGTTTGCTGAAACACTTGAAAATAATTCAAGCCCTAAGCAAACAAATATCCCCTCAGCGGACAGGCCTCCTATTGTTCGGGATCCACCAGGCACACGGTCATTTCCAGCCAAAGAAAGGAGGAAAATAAAAACAATCAGGCAGTTCCTTTTGCTGGAGTTCCTGTGAATAAGCCTGAGGCACACGGCTTTGTCACGGTTTACACAGGGGCTGTGTATCCTGCATTAGCTCGTGGGTAGCCTTCTGCTGACCCCGGCACTGTCACACAAACAGGAGACAAATGCTGGGCTTGGGAGCAGGTACACAGAGGGACAGGTGCCGCCCGCGAGGGCGTGGAATTCCCCAGCCGTGGTCCTGGGCTGGACAGGCTGGGCTGGGCCTCAGGGCAGATGGACAAGGCCCCCACGGGACAGTGGGCATTAGAGAGCCATTTTCTGCTGCACTGGAAAATTTCCTTTATTGACATTTTGGGATTCGGCCAGTCATTTAACATTGTCAAGTTGTGTTATAGTCAAACACTTTGGTCATATGTGACTCCCTTATGTAGAAATGCATGTGCAAATATATATGTGTGCATATATGGGAGGAGAGAGAGAGGAGAAGAGAGAGACTCAGATTGATTTCCCCTCTGGTTCTTTCTTAGCCTTAACGAATAAGATTCACCCCGAAGCTGGAGCATCTCTGATCCACTCTGGTTATCAGAACTTGACTGTGGATGATTCAGATATATCTCTTGTGTTCACCGCTTCCTTTTCTCTCCTTTATGTGTGTTTAATGGACTTTTTGGAGCTATGTTCAAGGTGTTTTCTAGGGATCAGAAATAATCTCGAGGCAACGGCGAAAACTGAGTAAGCAGGACACGGTGCAGTCATTTCCTTTCTTCGTTGTGCTTCTGCTGAGAAATGCACAGGACTTTCTAGAAGGGTAGCCCTGCTTATGTCCTAGGTCGTGGGTTGAGAGAACCCTGCAGCTCCTAAGAGTACCTAGTCCAGACCTTTATGGGCAGATAAATCAGACACAGTGCAGTAGAATCCCTCTGTGGGAAACCCCAGCCCGCAGCGCGGTCATGGGCCGCAGGCAGACTGCCCATGGTGATGGAGGGGAGATCTTTGGGCGGAGGGCAGCTGGGTACCACTGAGGCCGGTGACCTGGACCAAGAAGACGGTTTCTTCACTGGACCTGGGCCAAACATCTGATTCCTCTATCTTGCACAACTGTTTGGGGGTTCAAGTAGGGTAATGCATGGGACAGTGTGTAGAAAACCACACTGAACATCATAGAGACATAAAGCATCACGGTCATTGAGCAGAGGTGTATTGCTCTTCATTCATCTCTTAGTCCAGTTAAACCTTTATGATATTTGAGTTGGCCCTGATTAATTTAATGCTAGCTTGCATTTTTATAGCATTTAGGCTTTAGAACAGCTTCACAGATATTAAACCCAGATTTCTTTTAAGAAGTAACAAAAATTATTTGCAAGGGAGCTCTACATTGGTAGTACAAATATATGCAAATTGGGGGTTTGCAGGTAGTGGGGAAAGGGGATAGAAAAAAAACACTCCCAAGTGTTTTGTGTTAAAGACTATGGACATCTTCTGAATCCATTCCCAATCACAGCACCTGGTTCAGACTCTGTTGTCCTAAAAAAATAACATTTCAGTGTCCTCTGAAGCCTGTGTAGATAATGATACGCCTAGGGGTACACATCCTGCAACTGGTGGGGTTTGGGGCTTCTCTGCAACCCCAACTCCCCAGAGCACTATTTCTTGTCTTCAGAAGACAGAGAATGTGGACACAATCAGCAAATGTCAGAAGGTTCCCCAAGGCACAGAAGCCGACTTAGAAGGGGGCTCAGCCAGGGCTATAAATACCTCCGGGGATGGTGGCAGTGTGTCTGAAGATGGTCCGAGGGCCACAGCCGTGAAGGCTGTGACAGAGGGGAGGGGCTGAGCTCCTGGATGAAGCCAGAGCGAGGAGGAATGGGTGGGAGAGGGGGCCATGTTCCAATATTGGCTCAATCTGCTCAGCCAGAGACAGCTAAGTTCAACTTTGGGGGTTTCTGAAGACTGCTTAATGCCGACCCAGTGAAGCTGAGGGTAACGGAGAGGGCAGATGGGCCGGGTGCATAATGGAATTAGTGTGCAGTTGTTTCTTTAGCAACTCATACATGCATAAAAGAAAGGAACTATATAGAATTCTCCAGTTCCACAGTCAGCAGCGCTCACAAGAACTTCAATAAATCACATTTTAGACACAGTACCTGGGATTTTTCCACAGAAGCAGTGTGCTTATCACACATTGGGCTAATCTCCATTCCTCTCTCCCGCTCTTTGTCTCCCTGTTGGAAAAACTCCTCCATGATGCGATCTGTCCACTGCCGATACAGTTCCAAGGACTTGGTGGGGTTGCTCAGGTCTGCACAGTGTACCATGTTGCGGAGGACCTGTCATCGTCAAGTTTTGGAAATCCCATAAAAATCAAGTGTAAACACTACCAGAACATCTTGTCTCTCATACTAGTATACTTAGCACAAAAGTCAGGAACATTTTAGTTGCAGTTTAATTATGACGCACGAGCCCCACGGAGCAGGATTACACTGGTTTGGAGAGGACTGGCCATTTACCATTGAAAAGGTCCCATGGGGAACATGTTATCTGTGTAGACTGACAGACTTTGGATTTAAATATTGGAATGAATATTAGGGGGCATATGGTGCTATCATTTCCTTTCCTCCATTTGGAAAGAATGCAAAGAATTACTAAAAGGAGTTGGCTTCAGATTTTCCATTTCTTGAAAGAAGGGGCGAGATGATGGAAATTTGTAGCACCAAAACTCAGTTCACAAACTTCAAGTCGGAGGGATTTATACTCAGACATGAGCACTGGGGCCCACAGTCATGCATAACCTATTATAAGTAGATTTTGCAGTTTATTTTTAGAACTAAGCAATTTTTTTCCTTATAAATGAGAGAAAAACTTGAATGTCTATTTTCTTAAATTTGTACTTAAAATAAGCTCAAAGCTGATGTAGTAGCCTAGGACATACAAGTAACGGAATTGATGCTTTTTCAAAATGTCAGGTGGTTTGGCGCTGTGTTAAACTAAAGTTTCACTGAATACCTGTATGCGATCAGTGTAGTTGTCCAGGAGAAGAACGCCCGAGCTTGTGACTTTCTTGGTTTCCACCATGGTTTTCAGGTCTGCCAGCAGGCTCATGTGTTTGGACATATCAGTTGCTAACACCTTGGGAAAAAGACCAAATGAAAACTTATTGGTAAATCCAATGTGTAAGAGAGAATGGCAAATGTAAGGCAGAACGTGGAGAGGCCAGCGTCTCACCATGTCGATCACCATCTTCCGGAGCGTCTGGCGCTGCTTCTTGGTGAGATTCTGGAAGATGTCACAGTGCTCTTCTTGTAGCAGTTTGAAGCCCACGGCAAGGTGATGGTTTTCCAGCACAGACTCGTCATTGTACATCAAAGCAAGCTCTGAATCTAACGAAGAAGAAATGATTACTTCATAAAGGCTACAGCAAGAACCATCTACCTCAAACACTGGCGTCACCTCAGGGTGAAATCAAATCTGGTGCTCCATGTTATTTCAAGCGTCTCCAGCTGGAGGCCGCTGCCTCTTAGAGCAGCAGAAATAGTTTGTCAGCAAAAAGCAAAAATGATTCTAGCAGATATTGGGGCTTCAGCTTTCTCTTTGGCTAAAAGAACATTGCCTCTGAAAGTCCTTTATCTCCTTTCACACCTCAGATGAAGAAACTGATGTCAGCAAAAACCACTCCCAGGCAACTACATCATATTTTTATCTCAGCTTATAATTTCCTTTCTGAAATGAAAATACCACTAAACTTTATCTTGTCCATTAAGATTTTCAAACTGTATTCACTTTTATATGTGCTCCCTGATGTCTGGCAATTGTGAGTTTTAGATTTTCAGAGAAGATAATGTGTTTGGGTAAAATTTTGTTTTACTCAAATGATGTAGCTTTTTGAAACTTTGCATAAATACAGTAACTAAACATTAATAATTTTTCAACAATCCTGATGTTAAACTTCTTGTCTTCTGCCTCCCTAAATTCCGATACCTAGGTACCTACAGGAGCCTACACACCTTCTGTTAGATAGTGCTCTGCGCTTAGAAATAGAGTCATCCAATTCATGAAATCACATTTTCTCTTAATCAAGAATGATAGCCAAGTGATGGCAATGTGCTCCTATCTACAATGGTGTAACTCATGTACCACTGCTTTAAGAGTGTGCTTGGAGCTATGGACCTAAGAAAGGGTGGCAGGCTCTCCATAGCTATCCAAGAACTCGGTTCTGCTCACCCTGTGCAATTTCTATAACTACAGTTCTGCAAGCAGGCTTTATATGTTTATGTCTGTAGCAGAAAGATTACTTTCCTGAATGAAGCAGGAATACATATGGATACATTCCTGGCAGCCATTAAGTCAGCTGATATAACCCATGCGGACAAATACCTGCCCAAAGTTTATGTTCTTTGAGTAGAAGAATGACATTTTTTAAACAGTATACTCTCAACTTAAATGACTCACATATTCTGAAGATAAAGGTAAGGAGTGACAACAAGGATTCTCTTATAGCAAGTACCTCAAACACCATTTTAATACAACTCTCAGCACTGGATGTCAATCATGACCATAACAGGACAGCCACTCCTCTCAAAGGAAAAAGTACTTAGATTTGCAACACAGACAGGTGAGTGTCTCAACTGAGAGAATGAGTGAATTTTCACTGGAAATTTTCATAGAGCCCAAACATTACGAGCATGACAAATCTTTGAGTATGGCCTGGGATCCTAAAGTTACAGCATCCCTGGGGGCCACTAGGCCACCTTCCTGGCTACAGGCCAGTCCATAATCAATCCTAGGCAGTTGGAAGAGAGTGTGTGGAACCTTCGATGATTTTACTTCCTACATTGGGGGATCCCATTCCAGCGCATGCTGGGGCATTTTACTGATGTTTGAAGGTTCCCGTGCTGAGGTCCAGTACCTATAGCTGCTTCTCCAGCAGAGAGAGACACTGGCAGGTCACTGTACTGTGTGAGAGAGCCCTGCATAACACTGAAAGCCTTTGGCATGCTATCACTAAGCCGCTTCTTGTCTTACTACACAATTCCACATCTGTTATTCTTTCCTTCCACATTACATTTTCCCAATTTTGAGTACTTTTTATGGCTTCTCACTGACCCTCTTCAAGCTCTCCATGCAGTTCAAACACTGTGTTGCCAGAATGGATGCAGTATCCAGGAAAGGCCTGAGCAGTTTCAGTGGAATGGAAGGATTATCTCATAATTACCCTTGTTACTATCCACAATGAAAACATTAGGAGGAAAGAAACGCAGTGAATCATACAATTAATTGCATGACTGTTCTAGCGGTGAACTCACTTGTGTTGATGAGGAACTGATTGGAGACTCCAGGATGATCAACGTCATGGATGGCAGCTGCAAAGATGGCGGCCAAGATTTCCAGATCTGTGAAGACTGCCTGTGGGCCGAAGGGAGTCCATTTAACTCTGTATCGAACTGCCTGTCCAGCTGGTTCAGTTTGATTTTAAAATTTCCCATTTCACTCCCACCGGGGGAGAGGCCGATGATTTGTATAATATCTCAGTAGGACAATTTAGTTAAACATGGATTCCATTCATCACCATAAAGTCTCTGATGTGAAAGGGATGACAACCAGAGCTTGTTCCTGCATCGAGCTGAGGTTTACAAAGTCATCAGCACAATGCTCTCGGTGTGTGTGTGTGAGTGTGTGTGTGTGTGAACACTTGGTGTTTGTTTCTTGGACCAGTGGTGTGGCAGCACAGTGACTGTGTAACACAAGCACATACAAGTCAAAGCAGCTCGTCAGACTGGCTCTGCTCTGAGATATGACAACATTCATATTCTGGCTAAGCAACTTAGAGAAAAAAGGCTAAATTCCAGACTTGTAAGATAAGCTATCAGTTATTTTCCAGAGTTAAATTCACAGTGTAGGCAGGTTTCCATATGTTCATTCATTCCTTCAGCACATATCCACGTCTGCCATGGGCAGGACTTGAGAGCATCTGCCAACTGTCTCATGCCCTGTCACAAAGGCTTCTCAGCCCCCACCCATGCACAGTGATTTAAAACCTGGATTTATTAGCACGGATTGTGGCTGACTGTAGGGAAGAAACTTCTTTTCTCATCCTCTGGTCCTTCAAATGCCAACCACCTCTTCCAGCAAGACCAGTGCTATTCCTCTGGCACACATTAGTCTCCTTTGTCTAAAGGTCTGGGGTGGTGTTGGCAATTCACGAAGTACACACGTATTGAGGATACACCAGATACCAGTCGCTAAACAAGACACTTTGAGACACTGGTATTCCTTATGAGGAATACAATGAAAAATAAGGGATGGATGATGCTAATTAATAATTGAATACTTTCTCAATTAGAAGAGATATAAAAGAAAGGTTATTCTGGTATTAGAAAGCAAAGCAAGTAGATATGTTACTCGTTTATAAATAATCCAACTGATGTGTACTACACATAGTAAAGAACAAATTAAATATCTGGGGATGTCTGGTGACATTATTTTTATAAGTATATTGTACATCACATAATATCTCTAAAAGAGGGTGGACAGGTAGGGGGAAACAGCTGGTGACTGCTCACATCTAGGGCTGGCGTGGAGAGGAGAACATGGGTTGACTGGGCTACGTCAGCCGCGTGCAGGCTGTTGTGGTACGCCACGTCGGCGTGGTAATGGTCTTCCAAGGTCATCATGTAGGTCACGAATGTGTCAGATGAGATTTTGAACGTCTTCAGGAGGTCTCTTTCCTGTGTGGTGAAATGGATTAGGGTATGACTAAGTGGGTGTTCAAAAGTGGAAGAAGACGAAATCCCAAGAATAAGCTGTGATGGAGAAAAAGAGCTGCCGACTGGACCACCAACCTCTGTCCCCGCTTACTGACCTGGAATATGGCATACATGATGCAGGTCAGGGGCCGATTGTGTGAGTATCCAGCCACATTGAAGATATTAAGGCCCCATTTGTTCAGGTCTTCTAGCTCCTGTCATCAAAAGTAGAGGCATTTAGGAACAAGGGTAGTTTTTAAGTTCACTTTAAAACTTTTTATTTTTTGGACACTCACTGCCTAAGTCATTGCAGTGTCTATTTAGAGTGTCTCCGATGTATGAAAACCTGAAGATGGAATGGCTTAGAAAGTAGGTTACCCTCTTCATGACAACTACAAGTTTCTGCACATTTTCTTCTTTTTAAGAAAGGGAAAGTGTGCCTCTGTTTATACACTGAGTTGCTGACCCATATTTGCCTTGCCGCGGCCCTCAGCCAGTGTTGCTTTTGAAGGCAGCCACAAGTGAGTAGAGCTCACTTGGGCTTCATTTCCCTGCCTCTCCCCTGGCCCATCAGTGATAGCCAGAAACAGGGGCAGGGAAAGTCCTCTGCCCTTCAGTTATTAACATCCAAGTCAGGCCAGAGAAACTCAGCTGCCACCCTGAAATCAACCCCGACTGCATGTAAAAGGTCATGAAGAACACCAGTCACGGATTATATCCTAGGGCTCCAGGGCCACAGTTGGACCAGGAAGAACAATCATTCAGGCCTGTGTGGAGGGGTGATTCTAAGATTATCTGACAGCAGGAATAATTTATTGCATTCTTAATGACTGCCTAGGGGCGTGGCCCATAGTTTAATCTTCATCGCTCTAACAGCAGCTTCTGGAGGGCGTCCCTGAATGTCCCCATGGTCAGCGCAAACTCCTCTCATCTCTCACAAGGCTGTGAGGGCCTCGGAAGGCCCCATGTGAACCTCTTCAAGCCTAGAAATTGGCTCTGTGACTTCCTCCACTATGGTTTGGGCTCCAGAGACCGTGGGGTCCAGTCTCTTTGTGTCTTCTCCAGGCTTCCCGATCAGTGCAAATCTTCCCACTGGCCCTTGGCATACAGTCCCCAAAATGTCCCCTGGGATGAATCAGAGCTGCTGACTCAGGACATGAAAGGATCTTTTGTATGGAAGAAGGATCTTCTACCAGGAGCCTCAGCAAGGGACAAAGAGGCTCTGCCAGGTTCTTCATTACAAAGTTTAACAACAAAGCGGCCGGGGATGCAGCTCAGTGGTTTCTCCACCTGCCTCACAAGCTCAAGGTCCTGAGTTCGATCCCTGCCATGAAATAAACCAAGCCAAGGGTCCCTACTGTTGTCCCCACGGTCACATGTGCCACACACAACCCCAGCTCCCACTCACCTTGGCCAGGTGATCTTCATTTTCAGTGTTGACCCCGAAGCGGGAGATGCTTGTGTTGTTCAGGCTGGAACTGTGCATCAGCTTCTTCACCCCGCTTATCTGCGTCATCAGCTGCTGCTTCTTCTTTTTCTCCCGGTCTTTCTGGGTGGGGGATGGGATCTCCACATCATTCTGCTTGTCTGCAACAGACAAAGGAGTGCATTTTTCAGTGTGTGTGTACCTGCAATATTCCAAACAACGCTGCCACGTGCAGTGGGTTTTTGATCTGATAAAAGACTCTCCTGGTCTGATCTTTCTGGATCTCCAGGTAATCCTGTAAAGCAGTCAGGGAAAATATGATTTATTGCTCCATGCGATTGCTAAGTACACTGAGGCGCGAGAGAGCTAAGCGATTGGTCCAAGAGGTGGCAAAGTCAGTTCTCAAGGCCAACACTGTCCTCAGTGTAACTCAGGAGAATTGCTTGCATCCATGCTCAAGATGGAACATCAACACTTACGTGTAATTTTTTACTAAAGCGAGTAACTTATATGCTTGTGTAACAAAAAAATATTCATCAGCCAAACCCAGGTTAATAACAATAAGCTTCATGTTCTACTCATTTTATTATGTTTTCGATCTTTTTTTAATTTTAAAAATTCACATGACTCTAGCTGGGTTCAGTTTAAATGAGAAAAATAAATGGTTTATATAATCTTCAGACAAGTACTTTAAACCTCGGCATGTTACCATGTGAGGTTTAGAGAAAAACTATATTTTTCAGTTTTATTTTATGCTTTGTCTATTAATTCTATTAATAAGGCCTCTCATTTGTAATGAGGATTGCATTTACTAACATATTTATGCTCATTAAATATTTATAGTCATCTCATGTAATATTTTTTAAAAATTTTATTACAAGAAGGTAGCCACAGAGCTAACAGTAGTAAAAGAAGTGTCTTTCTGCTAATAGAAGCTCTTGCCTTTATACGATGCTATGAAAAATATCAGCAATCACATAGCCTATTTCACTTCCCAGGGAGATGGTCCCGAGAATGCCTGAGAAAAGAAAAGCATGAACTCTTTCAGGCCTAGGGATACCCGAGAAGGCACAGCAGAAACCGACTCCAGGGCTAAGCCACTACTTCGCTGAACTAAACGACACCCTGTGGATGAAGGGTTAAGGCAGCTTTCAAAAGGACCCACATCTATCTCTGCTTGTTACAGTGGATTCACGACTTTCTTCCAGATGGCGCCCCAGGACCGAGATCATTAGACTCTTACAGATGATGGCACAGTCACATGCTGTCCCCGGGGACCCCTGCCTGCTCACAGGCCCCTGCGGACAATCGTCACAGCCAGGCAAACGCAGCGAGACCCTCCTGGCTCCTGGACATCTTGCTAACTGGATTCTGGGCTGCAGCAGGGCTATTTTCTGTCCCCTACACCCCGTGCAGTCTTTCCATGCCCACGAGCCTTTAGACTATGACTTTTGAGTAGGGAGGAATTTCATCTCAGTTAGTTTAGGAGTTTCCAACCTAATCCTGCACCAGAAGTACCCAGGAAACTTTCAAAACTACAGATTTATGGGCCTTACCCTCCCTGTCCTACTGAATGGGAAATTTTACAAAGATTCCCCCGTCACTTGGGAAATGAGAGCCAGGACTAAGAACCAACGACAAGCCCATGCTCTCATTTTTCACATGAGGTCAGAAACTTGCCCAAACTCAAAGGACAATTTATTTAACAAATATTTAGTTTGCAATTACTTTGTTCCAGAAACAGTGATTTCATGGCATAGAACCCAGGCCTTCAGTTTCCCCATAAAAGCCACTTTCCTGCCACACAGCAACTGGCCTAGAAACCATACATTGTATTCTTAGCGAAGTTGCTTTTCTTCATATCACTGCACTCCTAATAATTACTACTTTTTGCTAAAACGAAAGGCTACAGAAGCTCCTGGCTTTCCCGATCACCCTGGTTCTTATCGGGCTAAAGAGGCTGTCGGATGCCCCTGGACCTCTGCGGAGAGAATCATCTCTCCAGGACCTGTGGCTTCCCCCTTGGTTTAATTAAAGCTCACCCACAACAGTAACTGAGCTGAGCCATGGCTGTGTCTGCGCGTTGAAGAAGAGCACTGTTCAGAAAAACACCTGCAATGCTTCCCTGTGTGAGCCCTGGAACGGCGGGCTGGAAGGCTTCCCTGTTCCGAGTTTCCTCTGTTGAACGTTTAGCCAGCACAGTGTGGACGTGGCCTGAGACAGGCTCAGAGTCACGAGGAACCCTTAGCGAATGCACACTTACAGCTGGAACCATCAGTGTGCCGGGGAAGCAGCGGGCCAGTGGCAAGCCAACCAGAACCGATGCCAACGGTAGGTCTTAAGCACACTCTGTTCACCACGTTACTTGGAACACTTTCCTTGCTGGATCCCAGCATCATGTCCTCATGAAAATTCCTAAACTCTTTCCTCATATCTTGAAAATACTAAGTTCTAGTTTTCAGGATGCTTTCTTCTGTTTGTAAAAATAGTAGCTACATCGCAATGTAACATCTAAAAATCTTGTTTGTTTATTTGTTTTACATTCTTTCCAAGTTCATCCTTCTTAATTACCCTGATATTACATACTTTGATTTCCACTCATCCCAGCAATCTGGAAGTCATCCTATTCACAGCTTCCGGTAAGTGCACGGACTGGTCAACGGTCTACTGTCAGCTTTTCCACTTACCCACCCAGACATTATCTTTTTAGGTGGCAACAGCACAAGTTTCACAGTACCCTGGATGAAGAGATCGTCCTCCTCCCCAGGTGACATACTGTAACTTTCAGTGACTTACTGAGATACTGCTTTCAAGCTTAACTTGAACTGTAAGGTCAGCATCTTAACTTAAACTGCTGACTGGGATGGTTGCCATGTTCTGACCAAAGCTGTCCATATCACTGGAAACTGCTAATCAACATTTTGTTTTTTAGGCCCAACAATCTTGATACTTGAAGACGTTTTTTGCAAAATAATGTGCATATTTCTTAAATGCCCTTAGATATGATTTTCTTCTCTATGTTCTGAACCCCTCATAAGAGTGGCAGAGTATCTAAGTCCAGAAATCAAGAAAGCTAAGTCCTAGTTGTGGCTTAGAAACACATTAGCCAAGAGATCTTGGTCAGTTACTTTATCACCTGGACCTCAGTCTTCCTTCCTGAAGAGAGAGAAAATTGTACCATGAAGACAGAATGGTTCTTTTGAGATCTGACATTTTGTACAGATGCCTGGATAGCCCTCCAGGATACTCAGCAGCTCACAGGAATAAAACTAAGAGCTCCAAATCCTGCCATTTGAAAAAGCTTTATTTGTATGATTATTTTTTTTATTTATGAAGATTGTCAAATTGTAAGCCTATGGTTCATCACAGAGCGTCCAGGTTGCCAAGTATATCTTAGTGAAACCAAAATCTCAGTCCATGTCAGAATCTTAGAATCATAGACTTGGAAGGTTGTGAGATTCCCTCTATTGCAGTCCTCCCATTTTACAGATGAAGCAACTGATGATGCATTTGTGTTTATGTAGTAGCTTTTCTTCTTGTATTTTCCTAAGAACTTTAAAAATTCTAATCTTCCTGTCTCATCTGAATGTTGAGTCTGCCACACATGCACACACACACACACGCACACACACGCATATACACACCACCCTCCAAATGCTAAGAGTACATAAGAATTTGGATTCCAATAACCTTTCTCAACAATTTGTTCTTGACAATCTAATCTTCAGAATAACAAGAAGTCAAACAATTGGTTTTACACTTGATCTTAGCCAAAAGGCCGAGAAGCGATAAACAATTGGTTTTGATATGTGCCTGAGTAGCAAAGAGGGTACTCAAGAGTAGACACTGCCGTGGGAAGCACTGGAAGACACTGCAACTCAGAGGACTGCCTTGGTCCAGTCCTGATTGCTAAAGGAAGGGCTTAGAGATGTCACAGTGTCTTCTGCAAAGACAGACAAGCTCTGGTATTTTAAAATGTAACAGATATTAAAACAAAATGAATTCTTGAACTCGTAGGCTTTGTTCTCCTCCTCTGTAGGCAATAACCCACAGATGTTCCTGAAACAGTCCCCAGCTCATGAAATGCTCACGGAAGATTCCTGTGTTCAAAGGGACCAAGGGGGAAACAAGAAGAAAAGGGTCAGCATAGACTGTTTTCTGTTCCATTGGATTCTGGCCACTTCTGGGAGATAGGATGTATGAAAAATTCCTCTTCTTTGTTCTCTGATGAAAGCTGTTGCAACTGCAGTGGAGGAAAAGCCTGTGCTGCAGACGCTCACATATAGAATCTGTTAGAAAGCACCTGATAATCACGGCCAGAGAGGACAGGCCACCCACTAAGGTGGCGAGCTTTGTGCTTGGCTGCTCACAGAGAATGCTGATTGACTTGCTGATAGCAGAAACTGCCTTGGTGTCGGAGACACAGAATTGATTTTTAAGACTAAAACCAGAAGAGGTGTGTGCTTCCACCAGTGTCAAGACAAATGCTCATTGATTTCATGATATGGAGCTATGCCAAAAAAGAGGGTGTGAGCCCCAGCTGGAAGAATGGGTCATTTCCTTGGAAAATGGAATTTTATAAACAAGCATAATTTAGCAGTCCACCGAATTGGAATCTAAATGCTGCTCATCCACATGGAAGTACAGAGCTGCAGATTCTGTAGGTCTTATTAAATTAGAGTAGTCCAACTCGGTTCATTATACAATTGAATTGCCTTTAAACCTGAGATCAGAAAGCCCTAATAATCAAACAAGATTCGAGATAGTGATTGAGGATCATTCATGCCAACCTTTTTGTCAAGGTCATGTGTAAAGTACCAGCAACATAACGACAGAGAATAATAAAGGCTTAGATTGGGAAGACAATGATTTTGCTTAGTGAAGACCAAACCTTTTTAAGATATGAAAATTCTCTCCTTCCCCCCTATTTATCTTTAAGAAAAAACTTAGCAAAGCAATAGTCAAATTACTTCCAAAGTTTGTTCTCCTGGACTCACAATAGAGTTAGTGCTCCAGGGTATTCCTCACAGAACACCATAGAGATAATCTTTTCCCCCAAAGCCCGGTTATTGGAAGACTGAAAGACTATGACACAGGAGAGAGGGGCTAAGGGAGAGGTGGCTAGGACTTGGGTGTCTGGCTCTGCCCCTCTGCTTTGGAGGTCTTGCCATTGAAGGAAGTGGGTGGGGAGATCACTGGAACCTGTGGTTATAGAAATACAATTACCTCATAATAGCCTTCTGCCTTGAATAGAGCTTTAAATTCTTTTCTTTTTTTTTTTTTAGGAGCCATTACCACAGATTTTACAGAATTTAAAAGGATATAGAAAGCATATTACAAAAAACATTTTTGAAATAAATTTGACAACTTCTAAGAAGTACCTTGGAAGACAAATTAATGAAACTAACTCTGGAGGAAATAATTTGAATAGCACCTATTAAAGAAAGTATATTCCTAGCTTGAAAACTTACCTATATGACAACAGCAGGCTCATACACATTTTAACTGATAAATTATATCAAACAATTAAAGCAGAAAAAAGAAGGAACACTTCTCCCCTCATTTTAGGAACTCAACATTGTGCTAATCCTAAAACTGGATAAAGATAATAGAAGAAAAAAGTATGAACATAGATAGAAATTTGTTTAACAAAACAAACTATTGGAAGTCAGATCTGGCAGTATGTAGAAAGTGGTTTTGTTATAGGGATGGCAGTGTTGGTTCAGCATTGGAAGATCCACCCCAAAAGTCATCATTTAAACAGAGGAAAGGAAAAAGCCATATGATCCTGTCACTAGTTGGAGAAAAAGTACTGGACTAAATTCTACAGCTGTTCATGGTAAAAGCTATCAGGGGACTAGAAGTAGAACAGAACCTTCTCAACGGATAAACCATGTACTCCATACTTTCAGCAAAAATGCCTTATATGAATGGAGAAGATACAATGCTTTCTCCTTAAGGTGGGGAACAAGGGCAGATATGCCTACTCTTCATCTGTCCATTAAACTTTGAAACCTAGCCCCCCCCCCAATAGTCTGGCAATAAAATGACACAACTAGGATAGGATTGGCATGGAAAACATTATCTTCCTGCTTACTTTGTCTCTTAAAGATTCCCTTCAGTTCTGATTTTATTTTATTTTATTATTTTTTCTTATTTTAAATAGATACATTTTTATATGACTTAAACCCATTTCAAATGGACATGGGATGCCCCTCTGGGGTCGTGGTTCTGCCCAGTTCACAACTTACCTAAGAAAGTATTGGAAATGTATTCAGACACCTGGTTTCCAGACCGGCTCATCTCTGAGAGGTGTGTCAGCTCCCGGTTCAGCATTCTTTTAAACTGTTTATGAAAAAAAAAAGCATTAGCTATCTTTAAAAACAGATAAAATGATCACTTTCAATGTTTCCAACTTTACTTTCTAGGAATCAGGAGATTGGACAAGCAGATAGCATCAGATAAATGGTATTGATTCTACAGAACATAACAACCCCTTAATTTGATATTATTCCAATGCTACTTTAGGTAAGGTTTTCTTAAGATTTCTTACAATTGACACCTGATTTCTTTTGAAGATGCAAAGACAGGAAAAGGAATTTCAAAATCATTTTACTTGAAAAATGTAGCTATTATAAAAAACACATTTACTGAGACTTGACTTTAAAATTTAATTTCAGTTGATAAGCTTTTCAGCGAGAGGTAATTAAGTGAAAAGTTAAAGGAAAAACGAAAGAAAAAAATCACCCTTTAAAAAAACAGAGTTGCATGAGAACAGGATTAAAACACAGCACAATATATTTAAATACAATGTAACACAGCATGCCCTGGTTCAGAATTAAGAACCCCAGTGGGTTAACGGAATACACAAATCACTATCAATGTCCTCTACTTCACAGAAAATGAAACTTGGCTCCCACCCGATCAAAGACACAGAGCACAATCAAAGGGACCCACCTTGATATAACCCCAAGATACAGATAATAAATAGTTTGCCTCAGGCATTTTGGATGCTCTTTTTGCCACAATCCACAAATTCCTTTGAAAGAATTCAGTTTGGAGAGCGCAATCTCCAGAGTCAGGAAAGCCCTGCCGATTCAGTGGTGAAAAATAATCAAGACTTAGCAAAGATAAAGCCTCCAAACTGACGGCATTTCCTAGTGAGAACAAAGCCCATCTCTTCTTGCAAGAAGCCTGTGCTCCCCGTGTCTTCCCGGGCAGAGGAGAGGCATGAGGTCCGGCTGTGCCCGCAGGAGCTCGAGCCCATCCAAAGGCATCCAGCCGGCTGCTTGAAGGCTCATCAATTATGAAGAGTCCTGGTGGCCCGAGGGGCTTCCTCCCTAGATTAGCACTACTGGGCCGGCTCAGCAAAGAGCAGCAATTCTGCTTCCAGCCGAGGACACGCAGCCATCTTTTTAAAAGGAGAAGATTAAAATGGAGGAAGCCCCATGAAGAGTTAAGGAAATTGGAAGTCCTGCCCTCCCCCAAGGCTACGAGGTGTTCCTTAACTCTCCCTCCCTGCAGGCCAGTTCTTTGCAGATGTGCACACAGCCTATCAGCTCTGCGGGTTTCAAAGGGATGGTTCATTGGATTCAGTCGCTTTCTGGACATTTTTTCGAAAGAGACAAAGGTTAGCACTGCAGCTGTTTTCAGACCAGGCTTCCAGTATATTGTTATTTTAACTTTAGCTTTGGGGAGAGTTATTTGCCCACCGATGATGTACAGCTGCGTTTAGCCTTGTACAATGAAACGAATGTGGGTGGGATTCATGTGTTTCCAAAAGTACTTCCTAGGCAGCATGCCATTTTCCGCACTCCACCAACTCCTTAATGTGCATATTAGACTGCATTCACAAATGGGTCAAACTCATTTAACCTTTCGATCCAGGTCTAAAGTGTGCTAGGAACCAAGTTCTCACTTGCGGAATGGATGATGAATGTGTTGGGGTTGTGGGTGGCCAGGCCTAGTCTGTATTTTAGGGTTACATCTCCTCATGCATGTTAGAAATATTTAGGAGTTAAACTCATTTTTATTCCATGTTCACAACCTGGGGCATGCTGGAAAGGTCACTGCTTTCTTGCAGCCCCTGCCACTCCCTTCTCACTGACATTGCAGCTCAGGCAAAAGACAAGCGCAGTGGGATTCCCTACCCACTCCCCCACTTCTCTCCTCCCTCCCCTCAGCTCCCCAGCCCTGCCTCCCCGGATTTCTGCACAGCACGGTGCCATAGCAACAGCCTTCACGTGGAATTGGCTGAGGTTCAGCGAGCCACCTCCTTCCCAGGGGCGTCTGGCACCCGCAGCAGCTCCACTCAGCCGTCCCAGACCTCGGGTGTCCACTGCCTGCTCCCAGAGATGGGGTCTCTTGAGCTGAGGCCAACGCAAACCAGCATCGCTCCCTGCAGGCTCCCTGCATCATGCGTGGTCCTCACAGAGGCACATGCTGGCATACATGTGTGTTTCCCCACGAGCCGCTATGTTAGTAACCACAAGCAGGCCGGCATCTCTCGTCCCTCATGTCAGCCGGTATGCATCGTTTACTGAACCTCTCTGTGCCTTGTGTCTCTTGCAGAGATCCCAAGTTATTCATTTTTTTAAGATTCAAGTGCTCTGTCCAACCATCTCTGCTCTTCACTTATGCTGAAGTCTTAGGGGCAGAAAGACAGGCTTACATGCAAAGAGCCAAGCTTGACTTGGACCGTCACATAGATATCTCGTAGAAAGGATAGAGACAGTTTATTTGTCCCATAAGTTTTCCCTGCACCAGTCTTAACCAAAGGTAACAGTCAAACAAGTCCTTTCTCGTTCTGTTTCTTCTAGTATTGCTGAAATCCTTCATGGTATTTTGGAGTGACTCTTGTACTAGTTCAATAATGACATTTTATCATGTACTCGACAAATATTTATTGAATACCTAAAGTGGGCAGGCCAAACAGTAAAGATACTGCAGTTAAAGAATGAATGAGCAAACAAAAACTCTTTGCATGCACTTAAACAGCTGTCATTCCAGCAGAAACAAATCTATTCGGGAACATGGGTTAGCTAAGCCAGTTCACAGCCTGAGCCGTGTTCTATTAGCCACATCAGTGTCTAAGCGGAGAAGACGGGGCGGGTGGACATTGAAGCAGACTGGAAGAAGCAGTGATTTCCTTTTTCTTTTCTTTCTACAGGTTCCTATTGCAGGAGGACTCTATGGGAAATGTCAGTCAGAGAGGTGACTCTCAGCTCCAGGACTGACCACAAACCTCTCTCTTCTCCCTTCTTCTCCTGAATCAAGAATGCAGGGCTGGGGATTTAGCACAGTGGTTCCACCGCCTTTCTCAAAAGCTCAAGGTCCCGAGTTCGATCCCCAGTACCAAAAAAAAAAATTGGGGCTGGGGATTTAGCTCAGTGGTTCCGCCGCCTGCCTTGCAAGTGTAAGGTCCCGAGTTCGATCCCCAGTACCAAAACCAAACAAACAAACAAAAACAAAAACCCAAACAATATACTTGGGCCGGGGTTTAGCTCAGTGGTTTCGCCTCCTGCTGCGCAAGTGCAAGGACCCGAGTTTGATCCCTGGTACCAAAAAAAAAAAAAAAAAAAGAATGCAGAAGGGGTCCATGTGCTCATGTAAGTAGCTGAAGGATGAATGCCATGCTTATTCCCTTATTCCCGTGCTCAAACAGATTCTTCTATGAGCCTCTTGCTAAGGACATGGCAATGCCATCAGAAAACCAAGTCATCTTCAGGCAACCCTAGGACATACAGCGCAACCAAGTACGCAAATGGAGGTCACTCAGTGTCAGAAACTGACCCAGCCCTTTCAATATTGCTTAGCAACAACTGTTAGTTTTCCTCCTGTATAAGGGAGGGCCCGACCGCACTGACTAAGGCAATCAATCCTCTCATCAAAAAACACTTATGAAGGACCCACTTATCTTGGGCTCTGTACAAAATAAGTGGGGTAGACATGACCTTAAGGGGCCAGACAGGGAGGGTCTTTCCGTTCTAAGTGAGGTAGCATCCCATTAGTTAGATTCGGGCTGGCCTGTAGGAGCAGGCACATCAAACAATGGAACACATGCGGCATATGTTTGAGGTTAAGGCTGAGGACAGCTGCCATGCTCAGTGGCACTGCGCTTGTAGGTCTGACTCCCAGATGGGGCCATTCCTGGGGAGCTAGAGGCAGCCCTGATGCCATGCACCAACCATGACTTTCATTCTCATTTCTCACTAAGGGTCTACATGAAATGAGAATGATGCATGAGTTTAGGGTCTCAGCCTCTCAGCCCTAACCTTGCATGATTCTGTGATAAACTCCGTGTCAGCCTCCTACAGTCTGGGCACCTTATTTACTTGCAACCAATACTTCCCAGAAAATAAAACTGCTTCCACACTACTAAGAAGAAGAGCACACTGTAAGAAATGCTTCAGTCTGTATGAATAAGTCACCAACAAAGGAAGAGAGAATTCGTCGTGTTTCAGGGCTCTTGGAGCCTCCCTATTTATCAAGTTAAGGGCTTATTCCAAATAGAAGGTAAGATCAGTCCTGAGTTAAACTAGATCCCAAAGCATTATGAGATTGAAAGAAGATGGGCATTGTTTACTTCGCCAGATGTGGCAGAGAAATCCACCAAGAAGAGCTCACTCTTTCAAAGATCAATGGGTCTCTAATGTCCAATGCACACAGATCCTACTTCTCTTTAAGGATCTGCCATCACAAGAAAACCCCGTTAGTGCTTACCTAGAAATAATGTCCCAGAGGAAATGGCCAGAGCTCCTTTTCAACACAGACAGGCAAAGTTTGTGAATGAACCCTTATAACACATTCTGCCAATGCCTCCCTAAATGCTAGATTCGCAAACACTGTTTACAAAAATTCAGTGAGTTTTTGAAAAGGGAAGAAGGTACCATTTTCTATCTAAATGATTGAGTGCTATTTGCCTGCAATATACCTTTTGTATAAAATCATCTGCGATTTTTAAAATAGGCTTTCTTTACCAGTCAGAAATGACTTCGAATATATAGAGTAACTAGCAGTGGTTGAAATTCAGTGACACTTGATGTGATGATCTCGTTTGATGGCTCCGTTTTTTTCTTTAGTTTCAGTGCTGTCTACAGAAATTAGTTTCCTCTGAGCCAATTTCTCTGAAGTGATAAAACTTTATCATTTTTCTACGCATCTCTTCAGAGGACTTGTTAAAGGTTGTACAAAGATCCACAGACAAGCAAGGCACTGGATCATGAGCATTCACACTGATCATACAGAGGGGATATAGCAATGATCCAAATCTTCCCAAATCTGAAATTTTTTGTTTTTATGTTTCTCAGGGTAAACAGTCCACAGGGGAGACAGTATAAGGAGCT